AAATGGCTGTTCTAATTATGAGGACCAGATTTGTCCAGGATTCAACAAAACACATTGTCTAGAACCTTAATTGCAACAGGTTTTTATTCATCATTCAATATTATTATGTTGGTCATGTACAGTGAATTAAATATTTGCTCATGGTTGAAAACCTGGAGATAATCTCTCAATCTGGTCAAGGGCTAAGTAAGCATAATAGTCAAGTATTTTAATTACAGGGTACAGGAGAAATTTAAAAAAAAATGTGAACAGTCAGTCCTTTAATTAGCAAACTCACACAATACATTTCTATATATAATAAAAATATTTTACGGCCATAATTAAATTGTTTTATTCCATGGTATGTTTTCTTTTTGAAAGTTTTGTTGGACTGGGATAGGAGATGTTCTGTTCCACGGCACAGAATTTGCACAACAGTTGTGTTTTATTGGGTGTACTTTCTTCTCCCTGTTCCCTAGCATGGACACTTATAACAGTTGTTGTATCTTGTGATATGTGGTGTTCTGTTCCATAGTACGGTGTTTGAATAATAACTTTAATCTTTTGTTTGGCCTACATTCTGTGGTGTTCTACAATACAGAGTTTGTGTTAACAGTTGTGTTCCATTGTGTAGACTGTGCTTGGTGGTTACAGTTCTATGGTATTCTGTTCCCATGCTTGATCATAATGAACTCTGTGTATGAAGAGCAGTCATGTTCTAATCCAGTATACTGACTTTGTCTAGTAATCATGTGGTCATTGTAAACCCAAGATTTTGCTTCATGTAACCATGTTTAAACTCATTTCCAAAGTCTCCATTTTCTATGATAATTTTAGTCTCTAATATGAGTTAGATACTGTAAATCAGTTTTCAGTTTTTATTCCCGGAAAGTTTATTTTTGCCTAATTACGCTAGACCAACTGCTCGCAAAAATTTCATTCTTGCATACGTTTGTATTACTAATGATTACATACAGCAATAACCAGAATTTGTGAAAATTTTGTTTCGCTTATAAATACCAAATACCTATATTGCGAAAATAAGGTGTCACAAAAATTTAGTGATCTACAATATACTGTGGAATCATTAAAATTTGTGGGGGTCAATTTTAATGGATTACTTAAATTTTACAGGTTCGTGGGGACTTAATTTCGTGTTTTCTCTAATACCTACATAAGGAAATATGTCTTTACAACCTTCATTTACTAATTTGTGGAGGATGTTAATTCATGGATGAGAGTTATACCCACGAATTCCACGAAAATTGAGCCACCACAAAATCTAATGATTCCACAGTAGAAGTGATAGCCATGCTTTTGAAATATTTCAGACACAGGTAGATTTTGCTTTTTTGTATAGACTATGCATGTAGAATAAAAAAGTTCTACAATGTAATTATAGACTCTTCTAAGTTAATTAACTATGTGTACCATTGTTCAGTGGTATAGAATCTGCAAAGCATGGTTCATGTTGTATGGTTAAAATTTAGTCAGAATCATTTTGTTCTCGTGTGAACTCTTTGCACATCATTGCTAACCACACTTTGGCTTGATAAGTATTCAATGGTAACTTTGTACATAATTTCCAGCCATACACTTTGGCCTGATAAGTGTTCTGTGGTAACTTGGAACATCATTGCTAGACACACACTTTTGGCTTGATTGTTTTCTGTGGTAACTTGGAACATCATTGCTAGCTACACACTTTGGCTTGATTTGTGTTCTGTGGTAACTTGGAACATCATTGCTAGCTACACACTTTGGCTTGATTAGTGTTCTGTGGTAACTTGGAACATCATTGCTAGCTACACACTTTGGCTTGATTAGTGTTCTGTGGTAACTTGGTACATCATTACTAGCCACACAATATGGTTTGATTAGTGTTCTGTGGTAACTTGGAACATCATTGCTAGCCACACACATTGGTTTGATGTTTTGTGGCAACTTGGAACATCATTGTTAGCCATATTCTTTGGCTTGACTAGTGTTCTATGATAAGAACATCATTGCTACCCATTTTCTTTGATTTGCATTAATCAGTGTTTGTAACAGTATTTTGTGGTTTTTATTTGCAATTTACTATTCAATAGACTTCATATAGCAATAGAATAAGCCACATTGGTTTATAGTTTTGAGCACTTGTTTTCTACAGTACCTCAGCAAAAAAAACTTTTTTCATTTTGGTGTGAAATTAGGCAGCAGTTGTAGCAAAGTTTATTGGAATTGACCTGCACCTGTGTTTTGTTTTTTTCTTTTTTTAATTTGTATACATGTACTACATGTATTAACACTTGATTTAATTTTTTAAGCATAATTTCTGTATGGTTTGGGAATTGTGCAAATGAATAGAACTTCTCTTGTTCTATATCAATATTTTTGGAATCACCTGTCTTGATGTCTCCCTGGAATAGTGTCCCCCAGAAATAAAAAAAGTAACTTTTCACTGGTGTGTGAATGTGTGTGTGTGTCATTCAATACAGACACAACAATTTCATCAAAATCATGACCACCTTTATCAAATAGATCTAATTAATACCTTAAAAACCTAGCAGTCACCCGCAGTTCCATACAAAAATCAGGGCTAATTTCTATCGA